TGTGTCAAGCTCGATTCAAGATGGCTGCCACATCAACTACTTCTGGAAGGGCGGAGTTTATAATGAGCTGGACGTGGTATCGAGCTGACTCTGAGAGTTAATCAGTTGCAGATGTGCATTCAGTGTTTACTTTCTGCAGCATTTATTTTCCATCCATAGAAGATGATGCAACASAAACACAAACACACAGACACAGGCAAAAGCATAGCATTTTTTTTTTTTTTTGCTTTTTTGCGGTGGATTAAAAAAATATGAAGCTGGATCAAGTGCAGCACAATTAATGTAAGTCTTGCACACATACATGATGATGAGAGTGATGAGAAAGTAGAAGAGTTCACTCTTGATGATGTTTAGGTAGATCCACACAACCCAGTCAGAACCAGGAATTTCCTTCAAATCAYYGATCCAGATTTCAACCACACTGAAGGTGTTGTTGAGTCCTTGGAAAGGCCCACAGTGTTGTGAGGGGGGCAGACTRAAACAGGACAATATGAAACCACATGAGGCTCGGTGCGTGTGGGATTTTACTGTAACTGCAATTAGATACCATCATATCATCATAAATGTTTTTCAGAAGTGTTTGCTGATGCTGCCTGACCTCCACGCGCTGTACGCRACTATCGACACGGCTCCCACGAAGAAAGGGAAGAAGAGGAGGAAGATGAAGATGGTTTTCATCTGAGCCGCTCTGCTCGATCGCCGCGGAGGCTGGCAGTTCTGGGTCAGGCTGACCTGTTGTCAAAAATAAACACGAGCAATCCGGACTTCATTTTTCAAACAGTGTTTCGGCTAAAAGTCATTAAAGCTGAGAAAWCATCACATTTATTCCCGACCACAATGTAGAATGTGACAGGTTTGAACAGAGAGGCTTTAAAGGTCATTTATCAGGTCCACAAAGCAGAGAGCAGACAGTAGATCCACACTGGATCAAATTACAAATCATCTAATCCTCTAAGACTGACAAGCTTCATAGAATTGCCTCATAATGATTRACCTCATAAAAACTCAGCTGCATCTTCCATAACAGGGTAAATAAAGCATTTAGTTTGATTAATTATTGCCTAAACAATTAGAGAAACATGAGCCCTGAAGGGGAAATGGAGCTGCTCTGAGCTGAGGCATTTTCTCTGCTTGTATTAAAGCTGAGTTCAACTCAAAGCTCTGAATAAGACAACCAGCATTTACCTTTTTTAAATAAAACAAGATGAAGAATTTCAGAATCTGGATGACSGGCAGCAAAGGAGAAAAGTAGATCCCAATCCTGTCAGGAAAAAAATATATTAAAAAAATCGAACTTCCAAATGACAATCAGCAGTTTGAGCTTCTTTTACACGATAAGTGCAGAAAGTTGTGTTTTTACCAGGCTAAAGTCTGAGCGTAGATCAGTTCAAGGACATTTCTGGCTACATCAAACTCTGGCACCCCAAGTCGTGGTTGTAACTTGGTCCCAATGACACTAATTTGAAACACAACGTCAGATGAACACATGAAGTTAACTTGTCGTATTTCAGTAAATGTGATTTTTAAATTTGAAACAGCTCAACTCACTTGCTGAGAAATTCTCCAAAGAATGATCCCAACATGAGAAAAAGGAAGTCGATAATGACCAGCCGGTACAAAGCCTGTCCCACCACGGACTCCCAGCACTGAGAGGAAATACAAGTTAGGAATGAACCCATACCATGTGGTTTATAAGAAAAAGCTTTAAAAGATATGTTTTAAAAATGTACCGAAAATTTCCAAGGGATCACGTTCATCCAGTAGTAACATAAAACACCCAGGATGGACATCCTGAGTAACACATTTCTGTTGTCRGGAGAAAAAAAGACATTGGATTATTGACAGAAATGAGTCAATCACTAAGAAAATTACTAATAAAACACTAAATGTACACAGTTTTTGTGAAAAAAAATTCAAAGATAATTTGCCACAGTAAAAAGTGCATTACACATGATATTAGCTGAATWTTATTGGCAGATAAGATTTGTTCTACTGAACAAATTTTAATGAAATTTACAGAAAGYAAACACTGGCTCTACGTCAACARCTGGTTATGTTTCRAAGTCAAGCCAAATCAAGATGACCACCACMGYTGATCAACGTAAAAAATACTAAATAGGTGTTCCATCAAACACAAATTACACTGAGAGGCTGCGACAAAGTGAAGACTTTACACAATGCACTGGCCTCCTTATACAACTTATACTACTTTGCATTTTATCATTTAGGTAAATCTTTGTATCGAGCCCTGAGATGACTTTATTGTGAAGAATAGCTATATAAACAAACTATATTGAAATTAATTAACTTCATAAAATAATCTAAATATGAAAATTTACATAAAATTATTTTTGGCTACTTAACATCAATGAAGACCAAATATAAACACACAAAAATTTACACTTTGATTTTATTACATGCATCTCTGTTTTCCCACCTGATCAACACGGCATAAATCTGCACGCGCTGGTTGGAGTAGCGCTCAAACTTATTGAAGAGGGAGAAAAAGAGCGGAATGACCAAGTTCATCAAAGACACCACGAAGGGAACCAGGAGCGTCTCGGCCTCATTAAGCAGAGACCAGGGTCCAGAGTCCAACGYCTGCAGTAAAGATAAGGAGACTATGTGTTAATCTTGTAAATGATATGGTACATTAGTTTCAGTGAGTTTATGACGCACACTAAAAAAAAAAAACACACTAGTAGACCATAAAGTATTATGTGCTGTTTCTCGTAACATGTAACTATACAGACATTTACTGTACATTACAACTGGTTTACCAGCAGGAAGGATTAGATTTTTTTATATGAGCTTACTTACTTCCACACTGCATTTAACATTTAACATTAAGGCAGATCAGATCTAAACTTGACTYGCACCTGTTGTTCATATTGGCAGAGGTAGAAGATGCTGGCTCCACAGCCAAGAGCCAAGCTGGTGGAGAGAAACCAGCAACCAAAATGAATCCCAAAGTCTTCCAGTTTCTCAGAAAGTGTTAGYCGTTTCATCTGGGATTTTTCTGCTAAAGATTCCTGCAAAAAAGTAGCAAGAAGGCGATTAATATATTTTATTGTGAATAAAATGAGAGATTACGAGTGTGGCAAACCAGCGCTTTCGGTTTTTATTTACATTTTAGATACAATCAAAAAGAATCAATAAGTAGGTCCTCTGGATGGGTTCTTCTTTAGTGAAACGTTTCATCTCTCCTCCAAGAGACTTCTTCAGTCTGATGAGTTTCAGGTGAACTCAGCCTTATAAGCACTGCCCCCACATGGTGGACAAACAGGTTAATCATGTGCAAAAGAGGGCCATTGCCTAACAATAGGCTTGATTAGCTCTAATGTTCATAGAGGGTCATGTGCCCCATCATCTGACTTATTGGTTTGGATGCTGTGGTAGGTGTCATGTTATGTGTATGTAGTGAGTGTGGGCAGGGCTCAACATCCCCTTGTTTTTGGTGGAGGCTGTCGTGTCCAGTTGTCCTCCTCCTACAACGCTGTTATTGCAAGTCAGCCCCCTGTGAGCAAAAGTTGTGAATCAGGGCCCCAATGATACCAACACAAAGAGGGGGAAAAAAGACAAAAACAAGGGGGCTTTGAGCCCCGCCTGCATTCACTACATACACATGACACGACACCTAAGAACCACAGCATCCAAACCAATAAGTCAGATGATGGGGCACATGACCCTCTATGAACAATAGAGCTAATCAAGCCTATTGTTAGGCGATGGCCCTCTTTTGCATGTGACTAACCTGTTTGTCCATGTGGAGGCAGTGCTTATGAGGCTGAGTTCACCTGAAACTCATCAGACTGAAGAAGTCTCTTGGAGGAGAGACGAAACGTTTCACTAAAGAAGAACCTATCCAGAGAACCTACATGTTTTTTCTTTTTGATTTTTTCTACCTGGATTAATGAGATGCATCAGAATATTTTAGATACAACAATGTCAGAATTGGGGTTATTTCTTACTACCAGAAACCGGTTTGAACAACACAAACAGTCACCTTGAGTTGGACACGKAGGTTGGTTTTGCGTTGTCTCACTGCTCTGTCGTTGGTCATACTGAAATCCCAGCTGCACAGAAGCTGCCATGCACTGCTAGAAGCTTGGTCTGCTAGTGCGTAGTTCTTCTTGAATGAGCTTGCCATGCTGTGGGAGAATAAAACCAGACTTTAATAAAAAAAWWAAATAAAAGTACTTCACACTGAAAAGAAATTGTGGGAAAGTACTGATTGAACTGAAAGCTGCACTGACCTGAAAAYAAGCACAATTCCACACAGCACCATGTAGATGGCAATGGTGAAGAAATAGGCCAGCTGCATGTTGTAATCCACCAAACCCTTCAGAGTCCCATTACTGTAGCCACCATAGTACATAACAGTATAGGTGAAATAACCCTGAAAACACCAAATATGTGAACTTCAGTTGCAGTAGGGTGGATTTTTGAGGGTTCGATCCACATCTAACAAAGCTTAAATGATAAAATCTGTAATTTTCAATGCAGACTCACAGCTCCTGTCAGTAGCTCCAGCCCTCTGAAGCTCACATTGGAAGGGATGTTGGGTGAAGGGTCGTAAACAAGCAGCGGGATGGTGATGAAGCCAAAATTGACCAAGAAGGAGAAAACGTTGAACATCAGAAGCCACTTGAGGAACACGAAATAGGTGAGAACACTGGAGCCGAATTTGCCCCCGATCTCCTTCATGATGCCGTGCCACAGCTCCAGAGTCTGCCTGGCTGACTTTACACTGTAACCGCACCTTCGAAAAGACTGAGAGAACAGCAGGAACCACGTGGACTCATCACACAATCGMTGGTTTTTAGAGCCAGACTTAGTGAGAGTTGCTGAAAGCACTCACCAGTGATATCTTTTCAGAGCAATCTGTTAAACACGTGAAGTTGTTAGAGTGTTTGGAAGACTTGAAAGCCATTACTTGTCTCCTAAAAAATAATAGTATGAAAAAAATATCACAAATAAACAATGACTTTTTTTTGCTGAGTTTACACTGAATACAGCCAAGTGTCCATTAGAAATAAAACTCTTAACCCACCTTATATGCTGCTTTTCTTCAAAGCTCCTTGGAAGCTCCCGAATGTGACGTATTTGTTCTCGTGTTGACAGAGCAACAAGTTCCTTGATGAGGTTTTGTTCCTCTGTCGGATATGAAATGACAAGACAAGCCTTTTAACCTTCCAAGAGCCACCAACTAAAATGGATATCCATCATCCATCCATCCATCCACCATCCATCCATCCATCCATCCATCCATCCATCCATCCATCCATCCATCCATCCATCCATCCATCCATCCATC